GTGTTGCAAAAGATAAGAAATAAATTTTTTAAAAAAGTAAATATAATCCAATTTTGAAATAGTCACTTCAGATTGCCAGTTTGACTCCATTTTGGATGTTGGTGATGGAGCAGTTCATTAAAATTACAAACACTGTCTATGCAGTTTTATAATTATTCCCATATTTTCATATCTTTGGTTTCTTAGAATATTTAATATCAAGAAACAGAATAACTGAACAATGTAACCCTATGGTCAGGCTCTTTCTCTCTCATTTTTAATCATAAAAAAAGACTTCACTGGTAAGCCCTCATTATGTATGCAGATGACATTGTGATCCCTTTGAACTAATGAACTTTGGCCTCAAGGCACATGCATTCTGAATGGGTCTTTAAAATGCATGTGCCACACCATGAGAGTAAGTGAGGAATTACAGAAAGGAGGACTGGGGGTAGAAAAAGGCTTGGATTGATAGACACAAGTGAATATGCTAGTTAGGAGATAGTTAAAAGGTCGAATAATTAATTATTTAGGAATCACCTTCAAAGGTAGCAGTGTTCAAAAATTAGCATATTAGTTTGTATATGGAAAAGATTCTTTGAAAAGATGTCATTTGCTATAACCTAAGGGTCTTTTCTTATACCTGACATGTTCGATTTTGTCAGAATACTATAGATTTCACGTTAGCCTTTTCACCTTGAGTAACATTTAATACAATTTTATTCTGATTTTTCCAACAGTAAAAACCCTTTGTGGCATGTGTTCCTTATTTATCTGTTGTTATATCTTTTACTAAATACCAGAGATTTGCAATTCATTTTTTTCTTAAAACAAGTTTTTAAAATTCTTTATTGTCTAAAGTATTACATAAGTCTCCTTTTCCCCCATTGACCTCTCCCCGGCTGCCCCCCCCCCCCCTACTGTCTGTGTCCATTGGTATGCTCATATGCATACATACAAGTCCTTTGGTTGATCTCTTACCCCCTGACCCCCCACATTCCCTCATAGGTTGGACAGTCTGTTTGATGCATCTATGACTTTGGTTCTATTTTTGTTCATCAGTTTATGTTGTTCATTATATTCCACAAATGAGTGAGATCATGTGATATTTTTCTCTGACTGGCTTATTTTGCTTAGCATAATGCTCTCCAGTTCCATCCATGCTGCTGCAAATGGTAAGAATTCCTTCTTTTTTTACAGCAGCATAGTATTCCATTGTGTAGATGTACCACAGTTTTTTAATCCACTCATCTGTTGATGGGCATTTAGGCTGTTTCCAAATCTTAGCTATTGTAAATTGTGCTGCTATGAACATAGGGGTGCATAAATCCTTTCTGATTGGTGTTTCTATTTTCTTGGGACATAGTCCTAGAAGTTGGCATTTTTTTCCCCCAAAAATATTTACAGGGTGCCTTTTATGAAGAGCAGTGGACCTAATAGAGCTGTGGACAAAACAGACTAGTGTATTATTTCATGTAATCTGCATGCTAGTGGGATAAGGAGGATAATGAACAAATAGAAAAGATCTAGCATATCATGTGGTGATAGATGCTCTGAAGAAAAACAGAGAAGGGAATAAAGTGGTAGGTGTGCTGTTTAATGTGGGGTGATTAGAGGAGCTCCCCTGAAAGTGTCACAATGGAATAGAGACCTGGAGGTTGCAGGGAGCACAGTAGCTAATATCTGGAGTGTGTACCAGGCAATGATCAGTGGATGGGTCCTGGGTGGGAAGATGCCTGGACCACCTGAGGTCTGACAACAGACCGAGGTGGATTGAGTGGAGCAGTAGGGGTGGGGATCAGAGAGGTAGCGGTAGAGGAGGTAGGACTTTCAGGGCATCGTCAAGACTTCGGAGCCCAACCAGTGTGGCTCAGTTGGTTGAGTGTTGTCCCATGCGCCAAGAGGTCACTGGTTCAATTCTTGGTCAAGGCACATGCCAGGGGTCCCAGCTTAATCCCCAGGAGGGAGCATGTGGGAGGCAGGCAATTGATGTTTAAGATTTTGCATTTTGTTCTGGGTAAAGGAGAAGCCATGGAGGACTCCTGCAGATGATTTGGAACTTCTGCCTGGTGCTCTCCAAGGGCCTTGGCTGCTGTGCTGAGACTAGGGTGGAAGCTATTGCAAGAGAGATACCCTGATGGCAGGACAGAGTGGTAGCAAGAAGTGATTGGATTCTGGATATATTTTGGAGGTTGAGTTAGAGGATATGCTGATGGATATGGAGTAAGAAGAGAAGTTTACAAGAACTCTAAAGTTTGTGATGGGTGTAGCTAGAAAAAAGGAGCTCCCATTAATTGAAATTGGAGAAGCTTGCCAGCGGGGAGGAAAGGAAGGGGGGTGGTTGGGGGACTGGGTGAAAAAGGTGAAGGGATTGAGAAGCACAAATTGGTAGTTACAGAATAGTCACAGGGATGTAAAGTACAGCCTAGGAAATAAAGTCAATAATTTTGTAATAACTATGTATGGTGCCAGTTGGGTACTGGAGGAGGTATCATATGCTTTGTAAAGTATATGATTGTCTAACCACTATGCTGTACCTCTGAGACTAATTCAAAATAATATTGAATGCAAACTGAAATTCTGAAAAAAGTTAAATTAAAAAATATGTTTATGCTCATATCAATGTTAATATTTAGAAATGATAAATTAGAGAACTCATGTACTTGGGCATGAACGTGTCTGGAGATGAGGTTGGAGAAGTTGTCAGTTAAGAAGGCTGCAGGTTCAATAGTCATTGAAAATTACTACATGCCTTTTAAGAAGAAAATTACTATGTGCCTTTTACTAGGGAATAGCCACAGAATAAGAAACCCCTGGTCCGTGTTTGGAGATGGTGGTGATGGTGATGGCAGAGACACTCAACAAAAATAAGGTCCGATCTCGTGAACCATGTACCTTTGCTTTTCATTTATCTTCACTGATGGCAGAAGCCACAGTGTAATCGCAGTGAATTCTTCAGGTGTTTTTTTTCTAGCCTGATACTTTGTAAAACAGAAGACAGTGGGTGGAGATGATACATGTAGAACACTGTGGACATTGAATGTTGGTGATTATTATTTCTATAGGACTGATAATTTTAGAAACCTTCCCCCAAACCTGCGTTAGACTGAGAGTAGCTGTGCACCTTTCGTTCTCTAAGATGCTTATATGTTTCCTGTGATAAATGGCTAGCAAGAGCAGTTGTGTAACACTCACATGTAAGTGATATGTTAGGTCCCTAGCTGTCTGACTTCTACATTTATTAACCCTACCAGACCGCTGTACCGATTTTTCGGTAATTTCCACACAAAGGTGGAATATTGGCGCTAGATGAAAGGTAGATGAAAGGTAGACCTATTTTCTACAATGTCTCCAAGTTCCATCTTATTCTAACCACTTGTTTGCATGTAACTAACATTTTTCTATATCATGTTGGCTTTTTCTCTTTAATGCTCAGGAGCCCAGGTATAGGGGACAGTTAGGTTCAGGGCCTCAGGTCTGGTAGGATTAATATGCCTCTTCCAGTGGTTTTGTGGCTCTTGGAACTACAGGAAACTGACATAGGAAGTTAGGAGCAAATCTAGCACACCACGAAGCAATATTTGCGATTGGCGAGTGAGGTAAGGACCCATTTCTGGAGAATGCACGCCAATCCAGGATACTTTGTGGCTCTCGAAGCCTGCTAGGGAAGCACAGGACCAAGGAGTCCGTCTGGCTCCTTGGAGTCCATTGTCTGCTTAGTGCGGGGAATTAGAAGTGTTTGAAGCAAGAATGACCATCTCAGGCTTGGATGTCCTTGAACATCAGGGTAAGTTCAAAGACAACCTCTGTCTTTATAGTTGAGCTCCTTGTAGTATGAAGACTTTGGAAAAGTTGAAGAAGATTAAATGAAAATCATTTAAAGAGCAGTGTGTAAAGTGATAGGTTTGATGTAACCTAAAAGCTCTAGGGTGTGATGGAACGTTTTTAGAGGGATCCTGAGTGTTTGAATCAGGACAAAGAATGAAAAATAAATTGCAGGGCTGCAGTAGACCATTGTGAGAAGCTTTGACTAACTGTAGAAAGAAAAGCAGAGCCAGTGACAACTCGGCAAATTTGGAAAAATGATCTATTTAGAGAGGGCCCTGTTGGGAGAGGGATTGGATGTGAAGAAGGAAGTGGATCCTGGAACATTGCACTATATTTATAGTTTTTTTTTACTTGTATTGTGTTTGGAACATTGGCAGCCCACACAGGTCACTGCCTCAGTTTTTCCAGATTTAAAACTCGACTCCACTCTTGGGGTTGTGATTCTGATGAAAAACGCTGGCTTATTAATAGTTTTTGACAACATATATGTGAGCAAACATTTTCTTCTTTATTTTTCTATATTTTCTCCTTGATCTCTTTCTTTTCTTTCTACATGTGTTTCATATTTTTTATGGCTTTTTTGGAAATATGTAAGGAAGGCTCATAATTCCTAGTTAGGAATTATCTTTTTTTCTCTGCTGGTTTTTCCACCACTGTTAATTTGTGATATAACAATCTTCCCTAGAGTCATTCATTGTAATTCTGCAAGCTGAAAATTTTAACGTCAGGTGAAAAATATGTGACAGAAGTTGATGAACCTTAAACAATAAATATTTGTATTTTATGCTGCTGCAACTAGTAATTAAGAGCAAATAACTAAGTAGAATGGACCTTAACGTGCTTGATTGCTCTGAGGGGTTCTTGATGCATTTACAGGGTGAGTAGCTATTATGGAACATTTTGCTGAATGTCTATAGCACATTGCCACCTTGTGGCTGCAAGTTTTCTTTCTACATGTAAGAGCACATTTTTAATATTAAGTGTATCTGATATAATCTTATATTTTTCCTAGTATTTATACTTTACTTTGATAAAATATTTGAGGCATAGAGTATAGGGAGGGAGCATTTAAGAGCACATCCTTGTTCTTAGAAGAGGCATGATTAAGTATCTAGAAGTGAAGATCTACAATGTCTGCATCTAACTGTGTGCTTGGGACAGGGACAGAAAAAGAATGAGAGAGCTAAACCAATATGGGAAAACTTAGCAATTCACCTTTGGTAAAGGGAATATGGGTGTTCATTGTATTACTCTTATGACTTTTCTATTGTTGCAAGAGTTCTTCTGAAATTAAAAAAAATGATAGTTTAAAAAAATTGGGGTAAGGATATAAATGGAGCCAAGAAGGAGACAAAAAGAACCTCTGCATTGTATAATGACCTGCTATGTCTGGACCACTGACTGGGCTCTACTCTTTCTAGTAGCTGATATCACTGTCCAGGGTTCCCTTGTTACAATTCATTGTCCAGGGGGCTTAGGGGCAAAAATGTGTAAGACTAGATAGAAATTCCTCCTTGTAGGACGCTTCATGCAGTGAACAGCAGCCTCAAACCAATACCTTCCAAAAGTGCAACCTGGAATCCCTTTGCCCTGATATGGCTTGATCCTGAAGTGGCTACACTGCTAGCTTTCTGGATACCTCTCAACAAAATACCAAGTGGCGATGAAATACAGTAAAATACTGACTTGCAATGAATTCGAGATTGTATTTACTGACAAGTGCTTGAAATCCAGCAGTTCCAGTGGAGCTGGAGGGAGAGTTGACATCTGGTAATAGCTGATCCAATAGTCTCTTCCATCTCAACTAGCTTGGGAGGAGTCACTCATAGGCAGGGTCAAATTTCTTTGTGTGCCATGGATTTGAATGTGCTGCGGTGCATAGACGGGCAAATGGATGACTTTATTCCTGATTTTATTCCTCCAATAAATACATCCGTGCTAATATCAATCGAAAACAATGCAGACAGTTATAACCAGATGACTATCTCTATCATGAAAACAAAACATATCACAATCAAACACCCCTAAAAATGCTTGGTCTTGAGTGCTGTTACCCAGTCCTTTTCTATTTTTAAATTGCTCCAAAGTTGGCCCTTTTCTGTGGCCATTTAAATTTCCATGAATATCTTTTGCACTTCCTTTAAATTTCTTAATAACTATCTGGATATATAGTATGTGCACACGAATATTTCTGTCCTTAGTAACTGAGACACATATATATGCACATAGGCTTACTGGAAGGTGATCATTTAAGGAGATAAGGCCCTATTCACCTGTGAAAGGTTTTCTTATAAAAGTAGGACAGATCTTGAAATAAGTGTTGTGACACAGGGGATGCTTGCAGAAAGCTGTCTCTTGAAGGGATGTTGGTTTCTCTGATTCTTGTGACAGGTTTTCTTTTAAAAGCAATAAAGTGATACAGGGATGTATTGATTTCCATTATGGGCTGTGGTGCTAGAAATTTCCCTCCCCTATGTCTATGAGCATCAAAAGCTTGTGAATTTTTGTGGGAACAACTAAATTAGTAATCTGTTGATTCTCTGTAGAGCAATATTCTTTATTTTGGTGGGGGCAGGGGGATCAAGGCCCACAGAAAGATACATATTTTACATAGTGACTCAGGACACACACATATACATGGGTAACTTAAGAAAAAAATGTCATGAAACAAAACTCCCCCTTCCTTCACTGGATTTTGATAATTTCTGTTCTATTGTGTTAAAAATACCGATCACAATCTACTAAACTTGCTTTCATGATCCACTAAGGCAGCAATTTTCAACCAGTGTGCAGTGGCTATTTAGTCAGGGGCACTGACCTCTTTCCCCTTAGATTGTCAAATAAAAAGAAATCACAGCAGCCAACACAATAGCCGTCTGGTGTGAATGAATCAAAATTATACCTTTTTTAAAAATCAGATCGGCAAAAAATAATTTTTGTGTGTGTGTGTGCCACAGAAATTTAGTAATTAGTATATGTGTCATGAGTTGAAGAAGGTTGAGAATCGCTGCACGAATGCTTTGTGACCCACCGCTTGAAAAGCCCTGCTATTACGGTTTTGAGCCAGCCAGACTTTGTCAGATGGAAGAGACACAGTGAAATCCTGAATGCTCCCAACTGGCCACATTAAAAACAGGGCCAGGAAGGAGGGACTTAGAGAAGGAAAAGGAAGGAGGAAAGTGTGCCTGGTTGGTCTCTCATTCTGGTGGTGTTGGGAGCGTCCCCAGCGAGTGATGCCCTGTCCTTCTCTCTGCAGCTTGACCACATACTGTCCCCACCACCCATGCCATGTCGGAAGTGCAGCAACCCGGACCTGGCTTCGGGCCCTGGAAAGTCCCTGAAGTTCAAAAACCAGCTGAGCGAGGATGGACGACAGCTGCGGCGGGGGAGCCTGGGAGGTGCGCTGACAGGTGAGTCACCAGTGATATGTGTAGGAGGGATTTTGTTTATACCCTGGAGGGTCCTGAACGGTGCCCATGGGATTCCAGGTGCAAACATCAGCCTGCTTAAGAATGGTCTTGCCTCTCTGCAGACCATGTGGTAAAATCTAGTCCAAACCAGAGAGCAGTTAAATTGAGGATCTTATTAGTAAGCTTTACTGAAATATAATTTACATGCAGTAATATAAACTCATTTTCACTGTATGTGTGGGTGGGATCTGGTGAATTTATATGCCAGACCATCACCAAAACCCAGACAAGAAATATTCTCTGTGCCCCTTCCTAGTCATTCCCTCCCCTACCCTCCAATCCTTGACCCCAGGCAACCATAGCTGTGCGTTCTGTCACTATAAATTAGATTTACAGTAGCTTAAGAATTTCATATGGATGGAGTCACACAGGCCATGCTCTTTTGTCCCTGGCTTCATGGGCTCAGTATAATGTTTTTAAGATCCATCCACGTTGTGAATGTCAGTGGTGTATGTTGAACTGTATAAGGAACTGCCAAACTGCTTCCAAAACTGTGACATTTCACATCCCCAACAACAACAGGCAAGTGATCTAATTGCTCAGCATCCTTGCCAACCTGTGGTGTGGCCAGTCTTTTTGAATTTTAGCCATTTTAATGGGTAGATAGTCATATCACATTGTGGTCTTAATTTATATTTTCTTGACAACTAAGTGTGGTCAAACATCTTTCCATATGCTTATTGGACTTCATATATCTTCTTTTGTGAAGTGTCTTTTCAAATCTTTCACCTGTTTTTCAATCATGTTGTTAAAATCAAATTAATTAAAAATTTCAAATCTAGAAAACCCACAAGACACTTTTATTGACTTGAAAGATAGCCAAATTAATATAACTTGGGTTTTTAATAACTAACTCATCATGTAAATTTCATGTTATTAAACTTAACTTTAAATCACTAAAGGTTAGATACTAAAGATTATTGGTCTAATCCTTATTTTATGGGTGGGAAATTAAATCTTAAAAGTTAAAAGGCTCATTCATCCCTATGCTTATTAATTTCACTTAAGAAATTTACTTACTTTGCTTAAACTTTTTTTGTTACCAATAGGAGGGGCAGGAATGGTTCTTTCCAATTTTTGCTAAAGCAGTTTATTTAAAGCTTTAAGATAATGCGAGGGCATAGCTCTTGATGCAGACGTATGGCCTGAAACATGAAATTGTCTTTAGCTTTAAGGGGGGGAAAAGCTGGACTTGATTATCATTTCATAATTTAAGCAGCTCTAGCAATTCCATACTTATGTAATTTAGCTTGCTATATAATTACTTTAGGTAATTAAGTCTTTGGTCAGAGAATTTTAAAAAAATATTCAATAGTATTTGGAAGAACTTAAATGCATTGGATATCAGCCTGTTTATCAACATAGTTGTTTGAAAGTTTTTTTTAAAATATATTTCTTTATTGATTTCACAGAAGAAGGGAGAAGGAGAGAGATAGAAACATCAATGATGAGAGAGAATCATTGATTGGCTGCCTCCTGCACACCCCACACTGGGGATGGAGCCCGCAACCCAGGCATGTGCCCTTGGCCAGAATCGAACCTGGGACCCTTCAGTCCACAGGCCGATGCTCTATCCACTGAGCCAAGTCGGCTAGGGCTGTTTGAAAGTTTTATTGGAATATACAGAAAACATTCTTAATTGGTCATCAATACATTAATGAAATAATGTATGCAAAGCATTTAGCCCAGGGATGGGTGGATACTAGCATTCTGTGTGTAACTAATTGAATTTGGGGTATTTGCAGTTGCTAGAGAACTTGGGCTTGTGAACATCAGTGTGGAATCCTCATCCACTGAGTTTCTCCTTGGAGTCCGTGCTAGTGTCAGGAATGAGCAGGGGAAAGGAAGCGTCATCTCTGATCTTTAAGAAACATAGTTTCTACTTGTTTTAGGCAACTATTACTAATCACATAAGATCTTACCTTGGGACATACCCTACTTAAATCAAGTCAAACTGATTTTGCCATAAAAAATGTGTCCCTGATATATTCTGTTCCTTAAAGACCAGCCACCTTCCTATTGCGTAACTTTGTTTTAATCGAAGGATCTTCTCTTTGGCAGTTTTCTACTGGTTCCTTAGAACAAAGACTTTGTGGAGGACTAGTTCACAGTTTGAAAATTTTGCCACCTAATTATCCTAAGTTATGATAAGTTTCCTTAAACTCTTAACTCTCTGAGAGGAAGATCTGTGATCTTTTCATCTACTATCCCTAAGAACATTGACAGCTAACATCAAGAACTTAACTATGTAGAAGGCACTGTTCTTAGGAGGTTACATGTATTGATTTACTTAATCCTTACTACATCTCTATGCATTTATGAGGGAGGAACTCCTATCCCCCTTTTATAGATGACAACTGAGGCCCAAACCAGTTGAGTAAATTGCACAAGATCAAGGTTTGAATCCAGGCATTGTGGCTCCGGGGTCCATGCTTGTAACCATCACTCTGTTCTTAGCACAGTAAACACTCACGAGGTTTTCAGTAGATTCCAGCAGGATTAATTGGAGTGAATCCTAGGTGGGAAAATGTTTGCTCAGTTGGAATCTGGGGCTGACTCAATCTGTAGGTCTCCTACTCCCTTATTTGCAAAAGTAAATTAAAACTAGGCAATTAATGCACATTAAAAACCTTAAAATTTATACATTTGTTAACCCAGCAAATCTAATTCTCAGATTTCATTCCCGGGAAAATAGTCATGAATATATGCAGAAAATGAACTCTAGTTATATTTAGAGCAGCACCATTTATAATAATAAAAAATGCATATCATCTACATAACTAGCAAAAGAATATTGGTTAACCGTAATATGGTATACACATAAAATGGAAAGTAATCGTAAACATTTAAAACCATGTTGTAAAATAATATGTTTTAACATTGAAAGAGCCTCACTACATTTTTTATGTGAAATTCCATTATTGAATGGTCATGTAGTAGCTCTTGCTTCATAGGACTGACTGTAATTGTAGTGAAATAATTTTATGTTTCATAAGAGAAGGGGAAACAATCTCTGCCTGCTAAAGAGTTTTCTCAAACTGGATGATGGTTGACTGGGTTCCCGTTATAAATAGGCACGTGGGGAATGCTACGGCCTTTTTCCAGCCTGCAATTCAGTCCATGACACACTTTTTCTTCCTGATTTTTTTGCGTGGCACTTGGTAGTGCATCAGTTGATGACATTAATGCTGTATAACCACAGAATTTCAGTGGTAGACAACAATAAGTGTTTTTTGCTCACGTGGCTGCAGGTCAGCTGGGTTTGGGGTGATTTAGCCTGAGTTCTGCTGGGATTGGTTCTAGATTGCAGTTTGGGTTCAGCTGTGCTCCGTGTCTGATTTCCTTGGACATCACGTTCTCCTGCTAAAAGACAGGAGCATGCGGGTGCACGTCCTCCTGCACAGGCATGTTTAAAGCTGGCATCATAGCTGCTAATTTTCTATTGGCCAAAGCAAGTCATATGGTCAAGCCCAGAGTCAAGGGGTAGAAGCATGCTCCACCCACCTTGACATCTTGGCAAGGATGCAGATGTAGAATGCAACTAACTAGAGGGGAGGGAAAAATTGGGACTAATAAGTCCGTCTATCATAGTTAGCCTCTCACTCTCTTATTTAAACGTCTTTTACAGTATTTACACTTTCCTATTTTTAATGATAAATATAATATGTGTTCAATGTGGAAAATTTCAAAGAAGACAGAGCAGTATAAAGAAAAGCCCATCATCTCAGCATGCATACAAACCGGTTGAACTCTGACATTTTCTTACTTAAGTTTGAATCAATCTCTTAAGGGTATTAGATGAAAAGAAAAAGCAACCCGTACCTTTTTTGCAGGACCGGCATTTAAACAACAGACCCAGAGTTGACGGTGCCCATCACTGCTTACATATATGTTTTGTTGTTGTCAGCTGATGGTGCTTTCTGCCTTGCTGGCCTGCAGCATGCTAAATAGGCCCCAGGAAGCATCCTGTAAACATTGACTGAGCTGTGGAGCCCCCTGATGAGGAAGGCAGCATTATTCTAGTCATTATTCAGGCCCTTCTAGTCTGGGCATGGGCATGTGGTAATGCACCTGACAGTTCACAGCGAGGGAGCTGCAGCATGAAGGGCAGAACCTCAGGATCCAGAGTCCTGGCTTGTTGATATGCAAATATGCCCTGAATCCTAGTCTTGCGTTCCATGCTGTGGTATATGGATGTGGCAGCCCTAACAGTTGGAAAAGAAGGGCTTCTCTTCCTCGGGAAGAGTTGTATTTTTCAAAACACGTTTGAGCTGTTTGGAATGTAAAACAAAGAGGGATCTATGTATGTGTGTGTAACTTGCATATAATAAGGAATCAACTCTGCTGACAGTATAAAGTAGAATTATGGTGCTCTGTCTTGGGAGGAAAATTGAGAAATTTTTCTCTTTTGGACTATGGAAATCAGTTTGGAATAAGATTTGAAAATACCAAAAAAAAAAGGCATTTCAGAGTGAATTTTGTTTCAAGAGGGAAAGGAAAAACAACCCAACCTCAGAAAACATCCTTTTCTTTAAAATTAACCTGGGGGACATAGGGTTTGCATGCTGTGTAGAGTTGAACAGGTTTCTCATGCTAAAAGTCTCCCTAGCTTAGCGGGCAAGTCTGGAAGAATTCAGATTAAAGCAAATTTACATAAAATGTGACTGTTTTATGGGTGGACTTGGTATTTAGTAAATATTGCCGTAAATACCTCCCATGCTGACTAGATTTCTTTACTTTTGTAATAATACTGATGGAAAAATGGTGTGTTGTTACATTACATGCCTTAACAAGCAAAGCCCCCCAAATCAATGTCTTAACACAATAGTGATTTCTTTCTTTCCTATGTAAATGTTTTGGGTTGCTGGTGGCTCTCTTTCTCCTAGTGAGTGAGGGACCCACACTCCTTCCATCTTCTGATTTTGCTCTTTATGGCCTTA